GGGGGGGGGGGGGGGGGGGGGGGGGTAAAGAAAGAGAGAGAACGAGAGAGACCGATAGACAGGGAGAAGCAGCGGCGGCGGAGAGATAGGCACGGGACGTTAGACGAGGTGGCTGGTTGAAAGCGATGCCGTCTTAACAGCAATACACATTTCCCACAAACTTCAACACGCAACGGATATGTGTGTCGGCGACGTTGAATGTTAGCCAAAAAGAGCCAACAAGGGAACGTCGACCGCGTGAGCTGAGTGTCTCCGACAACTACTCAAATACTGCTCTCTGACTTCGCCTCCCGACAACCCGTGAATATGGACATGGGTGTCAGCTACAGGATGAGCGTTTTGTCAGATGATTTGAGCCTCATCAGACGGCGCCTGTTCATGAGTCAGGCGTGCGCGCGCACCCAAAAAATTCCATCGGTTTCGCCGCCAGAACGACAGGCGTGGCTGGCGGCCAGATCGCCCAGTCTCCCGCACGCAAACACATCAAGCAAAGACGTGCGCCTAGCTGTGGCCAATTCGCAGCAAATTACTTGCTGGTGCTTCGCAAGGGCTTTCGCTGACGGCCTGTCAAGTGAGTCAGTCCACAAGGCTCGTCGTGTTGCTTGCTCCGTCACACGGATACATACTCGCTTATTTTGTCAACTCTAGTTTGCTTGGGCGTGTAGCGGGAAGTTACGTCACAGCAGCAGTCAGTCGGTGAGGGCCAGGAACGCAAGAGGGTGTGCCATCGGCTTTCCTCCACAAGTGAGAGGAGATCAGACCCGACCGACACGTGAAAGGACAGCTCTCGGCGAAGTCTTTCCATTCCCAGCCCTTTGGGCATCGACAACCTCCCGGCTGCGAAGCAATCGAGGCTGCAACGTTCGATCACACGGGCGGTTCTTTCGCCCGCATGCCATCTGTCTTGACTTTTCTACATCTGTATGAATCGGCGGACTCGAGGATCAACTCGACCAGCAAAGAAGGAATGGGCAGGAGAAGTCGAAGGGCAAACAAGAGCGCCAACATTGAGCGCACACCCAAAAGGACGCTACCGCAGTCCCTGGATGCACGCCGCCTGAGTTCAGTTTTCATGAACTGCCGCAAAAGAAGATTTTCGTTTGGGAAGGCACAGATAGACAGCACACAGCAGCAGCAGCACCAACACGGACGCGATGCTCAATCAAATGGAGGCGGCACTCACGAATTGGACTTCCATGGTGTAAGTGTTGCGTCAACCTTTTCCTCTGCCGATGTTCCTTCTGTGGGCGCGCTGCTCTTGGACTGTTGCTGCTAGGAGGGAGGGTGGTAGCTTGTTGGTTTGAGAGGCGGTTGTGTGTGTGCAGGGTGCGCGAGCTCGAGGGGTCATTCCGGTGACGTCAGTCTAGGTAGAGGAAATAAAAGAGGGAGGAACTTTCCTGGAAGCTTTTTCCTGGAGAAAATTTTTGAATGGATTGTCGACGGAGGTGAGTTCGAGACGGCAATATAACAGGCGGTGTAGCTCGACAGGCGCGTGATAAAGCGACAGGGACATGGACCATGAGGGATCTGTTGCAAAGGTACCGTTGAGGTGTGACAAACTGATGATGTACACTGCTTGCTCGGTGAAAAGCACGCCCCTTCAGAGATTTTCCGGCGGCCTGTTTCCTACGCCACGCGGAAAAATCTGGCCCGTTTCGTGGCGTGGTGAAAACATGATCATCATCCCGTCGACCGTTGGCGACGGACGTCGTTTATGGCCAACTTGTCATCAGGGTCGAGGAACTGCTGTGCATCTGCTGCTGCCGTCATTGCTGCTGCATGCTACTTTGCGCCAAGCGAAAAGTTATTTTGAGCAAAGTTTGGAGCTACAGAGTACCAATCCATCGCGAACCGTAACCAGACACCTTACACCCTACTGCTGTACACACCCTTCACACACCCATGGGCGCGGAAGGAGGCCTTTGGAGCCATGGATAAAGAACAAGTGAGTAAAAAAACAATCAGTGCTACAGCAGTAGCATCGCCAGAAGGCTGTTTGTTGACTGAATGCTGTGTGCAGCTGCTGTACAGCAGTCACAGCAGCAGCAAAGACTGGTAGTAAATATGTCCAACATGAGCCTACCGAAGGAACCAAACACCAGTAGCAAGAGACAGGCAACCCCCCGAAATGAATATACGGGGCCACCGGAAGAATAGTGAGGGTTGTTCTCATGTACATATGTATCGCAATGAATTTGTCCAGGCGGTGGTTTACAACCTAGGTCCATTCCGCAAGGCAACTTACTTTGCGCCGTTCATCAGCGCACAGCGGCGCTTAGTACTCAACAAGAGGTAGAAGTAAATGGCAGAGATCTTGATAGCAGCATAGTGACAATCAACAGCAGCGGTTCCTGGCGAAAAGACAATAACGGTCAGCTGATGATAACGAAGGAACGCGACAGACGATACAGTCTGTCTGTTGAGGTATGGTCAGCTTGGTCGTCCTTGACACCAAGCGGCGGCGAATCCAACGCCCGCCTTATTCCTACACGCTGCACACCCACCTAGCGAGCCATGGATATAGACAGAGGAGGAACTGTGGGGCCACCTGTACTTTATATACGTTAACCGTCAATTGTTGTTGCTATTTTGTTCTGGCCTGCGATCACCTATTCGGTCTCAGCACGCGCGCCTTTTTGAGCCTGCGCAGATTACGAAGCCCCTTTGAACATATATCACTGTGGAAAACACAACACGCCGCTCTCACATAGTATCGATGCTGCACAATACAATAGCAGCTGCTGATCCAAAGACTTGTTTGCCGGGTAAGCGTAGGGCAGCAACTTACGACTATCGTGAAGAAGCAGTTTCGAGCAGCGGGCATGGATGGTCTTGTCGTAACGGCAGTTTTTGTTTCGCGGGGACATATCCAGCTAGCTTGACCCGCAGAATATTGGTCCTCTTGTGGTGCCTCCATGTCACGTGTTTTCTTTGATGCTCAATGATAGGCTGGTGCCCACGGCAATAAGCGGCGGAGGGGATGCAACCTGCTCCCACCGGTGGGGGCCAAGCGGGTCTAGCAACAGCGGTGGAACACACTTCGGCAGATGTGCGTATTATCTTTACACTTAAGACACTCGTGTAATACTCTTGTTCATTGTTATTTTTCGATCGCTACCTATCCAACCCAATCTCAAACGCAGAACCGTGCATCCATGCGTGAGGTTCCGTCCTCTTCCCTCCCTCCCCCCCTCCCTCCCTCCCTCCCCTCCCCCCTTGCCAGCGACTTGATCATGTTGGCAAGCTCCTCGCCGAAGAGAAACCCTGGCCCGCCTTCCTGCACATCACAGCTCGAGCGACGGAGGAGTGGGAGGCTTGCTCCACCCCCGTCCAGGAGGCTCTGGCATGGATGGCTACAGCGACAGCTGGGCTGCTCAACACTGCGAGCGTAGGGCCTTAGTGCCGGTGTGCTAGGCGTTCAAAACGTTGATCGAGGCTGCCGAAGGTGCAGAGGAGTCCGAGGACAGACAAGTAAGTTTGATATCCCGGTGCGCGTTTCTGACCACCGTCTTGATTCAGCACGCCCGAGCGATCGGTCCCCTCGCCCAGGTGCAGAAGCCCATGAAAGAATTCGTCGCCACGACCAACAAGCTTGCGGCGTTGGCCAAGGGTGGCAAACGCAGGGCATCTTCTGGCCACCACGCCGACCTGAGCGCTCTCATGGACTACGAGGAGGGTTTGCGCAGCATCAGCAACGACATCGCCTCGGTGGACCGGCTGGATCATCACCAGCTTCTGTTGGCGATGCTTCGCCAATTGTGCCCTCCAACGTCGCCGGATATGGCCGCAGTACCTCGAGGCGCGATCTCCCTGACAGATGCCCACGTCGCGCAGCCTTCGTAGCTCAGGAGATCCATTGGCTACCTCACGAACACTGCTCTGGGCGACGCGCCCTGTGTATTGACCGGCATCGCCGGGGGGGGAAAGTCGGCCCTGGCGTCTGCAGTGGTACGGGATGAAACGATCTGTAAGCACTTTCGGGCGGGGGTGTTTTGGTGGAGGGTGGGAGTGACGCGAAGGATCAGATTCACGAGTGGCTGGAGTGGCTTGTGTTGCGGGTGGCATCAACTTCAGGGACCGCGCCTCCCGTGCTTGGCAGCGTGGAAAAAGCGGCGGATTATCTGAAAGCGGCATGTGCCGACGCCGCGTCACCGCGCTTGGTCGTCCTCGACGACTTGTGGGAGCGGAAGGTCGTCGACGCCCTGCACCTCACGGGGCTGCAGCTCCTGGTGACCTCGCGCGACTGCTCGGCGGTGTCGATGCCGGGTGAGTGCATTGAGGTGGGAGAGATGGAGGAGGACGAAGAGCTGGAGGTGTTGAAAGCCGGTTGCAGGGCACCCAAGAACCTCGAGCTTCCGCGTTCCTAGGCCTTGCAGGTGACCACCCGGTGGTTCGAATTGATTTCTCAATGCAGACAAATTTTCCTTGCGCCAGCTAGTTCTGACCTGTCTAGCACTCGGAACGGGATGTCATATTCAGCACGTTTTGTACATGTGTCTCTGTTGTTTGTTTTTTTTGGCGGCGCTCGTTTTCGCGGTCGTTCTCGGCCTTGTTCATTCAGCTACCCAAACCTCCGCCCCTGCGTTCCAGATCGTCGACAACTGTGCGAAGCTCCCATTCCCGCTTGGCCTCGCCGCGCCGCTGCTCAAGGGCCCCCCACAAGATCCCAAGTCCTAGGGGCTTTTGCATGAGGCTTTGCAAAAGCCGATGGCCAGACGGCTGGGGACCGACTGCATCACGACGGTGCAGGACCTTGTAGATGCTGTGTTGGAAGTAAACTTGGACGCCATGGCAGGCGACACAGCAAAGCTGAATAGATGCCTATTCCTTGCGGTACTTGCTCCGGGGACGCTCGCATCGTCCGAAATGCTGGAAGGGTTGTGGGACGAGGTGCGACAAGGAGTTTTTGAGGGAGCAAAGGGAATCTCCCCCCCGCGCGGTAGCGTTCTTGCACGAACGCTTTTTTTTGCCAATGCATTTGTGCGTTAGCGAGCGAAGGCATACCTTTGATTTAACGTACGGAAAGTGTCCACAGGCTACGTGTTGAAATTGTTCTTCCATTTGTTGATTCGTCGTCGTCAATGCTGTCGTCAAGTCTCCTTCCTCGAATTGTGGCCGTCAACAGGAACAAGTTGGCTGTGGGAATGGAACGCGGTTATGAGTTTGATCTTTCTGCGCGCATTTTCCTTGTCTTGAAGACATTGTTGCCCTTTTGCCGGTTTTTCCCTCCTATGCTGCGGGGCCTCTCCACCAGGCTCCTGGCACTGTCAAGACTTTCGCAGCACAGCTCGTGGATGTGTCCATGCTCTTGTCGCGTTCACGATCTTGTCTTGCGGTTCCTCAAGCCCAAACTCAGAGGCGATCCTAGCCGGCCCACCGCAACCTTCCGTAGCGCGGAATACCTGGGACGACTGAAGGTTCTGCAAAGATTCGTCAATGCTGAGGAGATAAATGGTGATGTTTATTCCTTGGTAAACCTTTGGAGGTCGGTGGAGAACCTCGCGGACGAAAGCCAAGTCGCAGTTGTGTACACGAGGAACCTCCAAGGCGCAACGCAGGGTTCACTATGTAACCAGGCCGGCCGAATCTTGCAGCTCATGGTGAGCCGCCGTGGCCAACGGTCTGTAGCGAAGTGCCATAACGGCCCCGTGCGATGTAGAACGTCACCAAGAATGTGGCATATTTGACCCTTACGACAACCGCGCGCAGAAGCGTTTGTGGCCATGTGCACTTGTGCAATTCACGGAACGCTGCCATTTCATCAGTATCTTTGCACAGCCAGAAGGGTTACGTGGCCCCTGGCATCCCGAGGCAAAAATGTAAAGGCAGAGAGCCTTGTGCGTCCGAAACCTTGAAATTCTTGGTGCAGCCGTGGGCGAAGAGCACCCGGACAACAACGCTTTATAACCGAGCGTGGTCTTCCTGTTTCGCTTTTGCGTCTAATTCCAGGGCAAGGACGATGAAGCCGGACCTCTGTACGAACGCTCCCTCGCCATTTGCGAGGAGTCTATTGGCGGTGACCGCCCTGACGTGGCGGTAGCCCTCAACAACTGGGCGGGGAAGTTGCAGACGGAGGTGAGAACCATCGGATATGTCATAGAATTTTCCAGGTTCGCCATTGGTTTCGTAGTGCGCTGGTGCGCTGGTCCATTGTCTCACAAATCACGATGCCTACTATGCAGGGCAAGTACGAAGAGGCGGACCGTCTGCACCTTCGAGCCATTGAGATCGGGTAGAAGACGCTTCTCTCTGATCACCCAGATCTTGCCACATGGCTCAACAACCGGGCGGAGTTGTTGAGAGTGCAGGTGAGAGCCGCCACAAACAAATAATCGTTGTGTGGTTTCCATGCTCGGTTACGCCTGGGTTGGCCGCTCGCTTACTCCAACTCTTGCAAGAGGACGCGGGAGGTTTTCGAGAAATTCTTCGGGCGGGATCGTCCCAACATGACCACAACTCTCAACAACTGGGCAAGGATATTGAGCGTTTTTTCGTCCGCGGTGAGGTTTTACTCGCCTTGACCGCACTTGCATGTTGCTTTTCGTCCCCACTCCAGGGTAGCTACGCTGAGGCGGGCCCTCTGTACCTTCGAGTCATTGAGATGGGAGAGACAACGTTGGGACCTGACCACCAAATTCTTGTCACGCGGCTCAACAACCGGGCGGGGTTATTGAAGAGCATGGTGAGAGCCAAGTGATAATTCTAGGTGCTTCTAGACGCTTCAAGAGGAACATGGTCCTCCGCAGTGTAGTTCTCATTTTGATTAAGCCCCTCTGCTGCGCTGTCTGCCACACGTCATAGGATGTATGCTGAGACCGAGCAACTCGATGAACGGTTGCAAACCATGCGAGGCTGCTGGGCCTGCAGCCCCTGCATGTGACCCAGGCGTTCAACAATCAGGCGGGCGTGATTGAAAATTTTTTCCCCGCAGTCGTAGATCCACTTTGACGGAACTATGAATACATTTCTGCTTCGTTGTTCTACGACTGCATGTCAGGGCAAGTATGCGGAGGTGGAGCCTATGTATGAGCGGGCGCACTCCCTACCGACAAAGATGGAAGCTTTGTTGTACAACCTGGTGGTTTGTCAGAACGGCTAGAAAGATCCAAGTAGGCATATCACGGAAAAAATAAGATGGTCAAGTACAATGGAGAAACAAGTGAAAGGGGGGTTTCTGTCCAAGATTGACCAGCCCGTTTTTCCTATCTAAGAAGGCGAATTGCATTCCTTAGTTGGATCAAGGGCCGGGGAGGAGAGGTACATCAACCTCCTTGCGCCGATCCCTCTTTGGCCGAGACAATAATATAAAGGCATTTTTCGGGACGTGAAAGACAAGAACTGCACAAGCCTTCGCGTCATTAAAGGCCTTCCGGCGCGCGGCACAACAGCGAAGAAGGGAGGAAACACCCGACAGCCCATCTTTTTATGACAACAATTAACGCAAAGAGGAGATCCGGGTGGTTGGGCGGGCCGCGATACATATGCTGTAGTAAGACGTTGGCGCAGTGCACAGCACGCAGCAGGGCTGGATACCCCGAAGGTGGTTCTATGCAAACGCGTAGCACTCCGAGCCGTGTCTAGTACCACGATCTTGAGAGCATCGTCATGAACATCATCATTTCAGCCGTTGTTGGCGAAATATTTCTACCATCAGCTGTACCGATATGAACTAAGGACTACACGAACGATGAGACGATACATTTATTGCTGTTATTGTCAGGTTTGTCGCCTTTGGCCACAACAGAGTGATGTATCCAACGCCCGCCTATCTTATTTGTTCATACTGCACATGCACTGCACACCCATCCGGTCAACGCTCGTTGGAGATAAAGAGAGAGAAATACCAATTCAACGCAACAACATCAACGGAGAAAATCTGCACCCGCTTTGCACTGATAAGAAGGGTTTTTTCCCTTGGCACACATGCACCATCAACTGTTGTTCTTTTTGGAGGTCTGCATGCCACCTAATCGGTCCCCGCATCCACACCGTTGTTACGCCCAAGTAGGCAATGAAACTCGTTGCATAGATACCACGATCGATAGCACAGAACGCTGTGCTCATTGTTCCTGCACTGTACCGTCCGATAACCCGCGTTTGGTACGTCGGGAAAATATGCTAAGGCCGAGCCACTCTTTGTGCGGACACCAGCCATTCGAGAGAAGCTGGTAGGTCCGGGGCATGTTGGTGTGGCCGCAACGCTTAACACTCGTGCAGGATTGTGCAGCAGACAAGTGAGAGCCAAACGATGCTTGTAGATGCTTCTTTGGTCCGGCGAGAGAAATTTTGTCAATTTGTTACCCTGGACTAACTGTAGGTGCACCGGTCTCGTTGTTCCGAATGTCAGAATCGTTGTGAGGCTTGTGAGGTCATCATATTTTTTGTTTTGGCACTCGCTGCTTCTGTATCATCTTGTAACCGGAAAACAAGACTCGTAATTTGCTCTGGGTCTATGCATACGTTTCAGCAAAACGTTGTGGGGCCAGATTTTGACAGGTGGTCTTCATATTCGTCAGGTGGCCTATCTCTCCGACTATAAAATTCAACGTGTGACGAAGGCATGCCCCTCAACCTGAATCTGGAAGGGCATGTTGTTCATATTCTCTTGCATTAGCTTGCAATTTTCCTCTCAATGACTAATTAGAGTACGGCATTCGGCTCCTCCCGAACAATTACCACGATATTTTCAGCCAGAAAGTTCCGAGACCGATGCAGTCGCAGGGGAGGCCACGATCTTAGATAATGGGCTGTTCGCAAACCAAATCCTGCCTCTTTCGAGCCAGACGGCACACGGGCCCGATCAGCAGCATATTAGCCGCGATTGTGTGTCATTCGGGTGTCGTCTCACCCCCTCTGCCCCACTTTTTACCTACAACTGTTACAGAAGAGGTACGGGGGGGGGCATGCTTTCACCCGAGCTGGCCACATGTCTTCTGACAAGTAGCCACGAAAATATCTGTAAAGTTCTGAGTGAAAAAGCGGGACAGGAGGGGTGGGAGGACTCCACAGTGCCCGCTTGTGGATGTGGTCCATGTCGGCTATCTGGTCCGTTTATACAACAATTACATGTAGTTTGCGACGAGTCCCCCAAAACCGGAAGTGGCATCGCCCAAATTTCATGAGATTTTGTGCGGTCACTTGTTTTCCCATTGCGAGAGACGAACAGCTTGCACGCAAACACGCACGCACGCACAAGCCCCGCACATGCTGCAACGCAACAAAAATATCGTCGAAATGGAAGCGTCTACCGGATGGCACCCTCGCGCCATCTGCACAGGCAGCAACCACCTCAGCATAGCGTAACACTCGTCGATCCAAGTGGTGTAGTGCAGATTCATGACGGCTGTGGGGGTCCCGTGGCACGATTTGAACGGGCTTCATGACGTGACTATGCGTTTACGTGTTTGTTTTGGGGGAGTTGCGTCGATGGTTTTGCCCCAAAATTGTTGCACTATCTGGAGTGCAAAACAGCTCTCCACGTGTAGACATATTTGTAGCTTCGAGAGGCGATCACGAAAGTTGTTGTTTGGTTGTTTCACGTTCCAATTGAATGCAATGAGTTATCGCGCAGAACGTGATGGAACACTTTTTTTTCTGCACAGGCCATAGAAAATACCGCTCCGCAGCTCTACATAACGCGCCACCACTTCAAAAACTTAGCAGTTTAGAACTCGAGGCAACAAATTCCAACTCTACGAACTTGGCCGTAAGAACCAGTACTAAGTCAAGAAGCCTACACTGGAACCTATTCAGTCGCCGCGGGGGTACAGTGTTACCGCATAGACAAATGAAGAAACAAGCTTCGGCCAAAATGAGAGGATCAAACGTGGCGGCACGTTCTGTAGATCTCGTGTTTTCTGAAACCCGCCTCTCTGCCATGCTGTTCACCCCATTCCAATGCTGAGGCTTTGCCACTGTATGAGCGATCACAAGACACGCTAGAAGAGACGCTGCGCCCGAGTACCCGCACTTGGCCCAGGCTTTCAACATCCGGGCAAGCGTGGTCGAGAATGTTCCTCCGCGGATGTAGTTCCCGCATTGACCGATTTGCTGTGCATGAAACTCTGTAACGCTAACTTCGTCTGCAAAACCAGGGCGAGTACGCGGAGGCAGAGCCTCTGTATTAGCGGGTGACGGAGATTTGGGAGGAGGCTCTCGGTGCCGATCACCCAACTGTGGGAAGGGTCCTCCACAATCGGGCGACGTTATTGACTACACAGGTGTGGTGCGAGCATGCTTCCAAATGACTCCAGATGTCCAGTCGTCAAAAATCACTCCGAAGGCTTGCCACTACACATCATCCGTGAAATCACATGGCGGTGGGGATCCTGTTTTGTTGGTGCGAAGAAGCAGGACGGTGCCACAATATAACTGCCCTACAACGGTGTACGGAGCTATCAGCGCAACGCTCCGCCGTAGTTGCAAGGTATATTTGTGCAGTTGACTCTGTTCGAATGTATGTGTGCTTTGCTTTGATGTGCTTCCAGGGAAAGTACACTGAAGCGAAACCATTGCTTGAACGAGCCTTGGTCATCAGAGAAGGTGCTATGGGGGTGGACCATCTGGGCACTTTCACGTGCCGTGTGTCTTATGGCAGTCTTGTACACGCGGCAGGGGTTGCAGGACAAGGCTTCTCCTCTGTTTAAGGAGGTCGCATGTCCGTTAGAGCGTGCCCTTGGGCCTGAACATCCGGAGGTGGCGGAATCGCTCGACCAATGGGCCTCATCGTTGAGGTTGGAGGTGCGAGCAGTTTGAAATGCCCGGGAATTCTGGCAAATCCATACTGCGTCCCCATCACTGAAAGTCATGAAATACCAAAGACAACAGTAAAACCCATCCACCCTAACCCTATTTTCATAATTGCTTGACAATATTTAAACTTCCTCTTCGCCGCGGAGTGATGGAGTTTGAAAAGAGGTCCAGGGTGTGTTTGGCGGTCAAACGTTGTATTGTTTGATAGTTGCTGGTGTATAGCCCCCTCACAACTACCCGCTACGTGGTATGCAGGGCAAATATGCTGAGGCCGAACCACTCTATGCGCGGTCACAAGCCATACTAGAGAAGGTGCTAGGTCCAGAGCAGCCTGATGTGGCCAAACCCCTCAACGATCGGGTGGAACTGTTGGAGAAGCAGGTGAGAGGCAAGCAATGTCTTTTGGTGCTTTATTTGAAGGGGATGTTCCCCCGCATTCGATTTATTTCGAAACCCAACCCTAGGCGTCGCCGTCCCCTCGATATCATGGCATGTGGAGACTGTCTCACCGTTGTATTGTTGGTCACAAGCCATACAAGAAAAGGTGCGGGGCCTGGAGCACCTGGGTGTGGCCCAGGCGCTCAACAGCTCGGCGAGCGTGATTCAGGATCTGTATGATCAAAGTCGTATATTGACACAACTTTGCTCGAACTCTGCCACGTTGTCTTCGACTGTACACCAGGGCAAGTACACGGCGGCAGAGCCACTACACGCGGATACAGGCCATATGTGAAAAAGCTCTCGGTTCTGATGACCCAATTGTGGCAAACGTTCTCAGTAATCGGGCGGGGGTGTTGAAAGTTCAGGTGAGCGCCATTCGAATTTCAAGGAATTCTCGTGTAGAGCATATTTCGAGGTGAACGGTTTTGCAGTGGTTCCTGGTGGACTGTTCCCTCACGATAACGCTCTACTTGGTGGAGGGCAAATACGCCGAGGCCGAGCAGCTGTATGAGCGGTCACAGGCCTTACCAGGAAAAGTGCTGGGTCTTGAGCCCCTTGATGCGACCCAGGCGTTCAACGACCGGGGTTGGCGTGGTTGACGAAACGTTCCCTTCAGTTGTAGATCCGCGTTGGCGGGGGTATTCACACAACCTTCGTGTGACGCCGTCTTCGACTTCCTGCCAGGCCAAGTACACGCGGAGGCAGATACTCTGTATGAGCGGGCGGCAGAGGTATGGGAACAAGCTCTCAGTTCTGATCACCCTACTGTGGCAACCGTTCTTCACGACCAAGGGGAGGTGTTGAGCATGCAGGTGATGGCCCTTCGAATTTTCCAGGGATTCTCGTAAAAGCACATCGTTGCCGTGGATCGTTCGCGTACTTCCTGGTGGATCGTTCTCTCACAATATCCGACTTCTTGGTATGCAGGACAACTATGTTGCGGCCGAATCACTCCATGAGCGGGCACAAGCCATACAAGAAAATGCGCCAGGTCCGGAGCATGCTGATGTGGCTTCAACGCTCAACGATCGGGCAGGAGTGTTGAAGAGCTTGGTGAGAGCCAAACGATTCTTGTAGATGCTTCTATGGGCCTGTTTATTATTTTTCATTTTGTAACTTGTTCTAAGTTCAAAAACGCTGTGAAACCTGCTCTCTCCAGGCGCAGATTTTTTTTTTTTTTAATTCTTTTCACACCAATTTGCTCTGTATTAACTATCGTTGTCTCACGTTCCGATGAAACTCAAAGACTAAAACGCGAATGGGACAATGAAGGACCAGCAGACCATCGCATCGCTCCGCAGCTCTAGATGCAATATTTTGTGAAACCGAAGTCTTCGCCATGCAGTTCATTCCATACCATGGCAAGTATGCCGAGGCCTTGCCACTGTATGAGCGGTCACGAGCCACACAAGAAAGCATGGAGTGCCGTAGGCGTTATTCAACTGAGCGAGGTATGGTTAAAGTTTCTCCCGAGGCGTAGTCCCCACTTTGACAGAAATATGCATGGAAATCCGCTACGCTACATTCGTCGGTATGCCAGGGCAAGTACGCGGAGGCAGAGCCTTTGTACTAGCGGGCGACGGAGATTTGGGAGAAAGCTGTCGGTCCTGATCACCCAACTGTGGGAACCGTCCTCCGCAATCGGGCGTCACTATTGACTACACAGGTGCGGTGCCATCATACTTCCAGATAACTCCACATGTTTCACAATTTCTGCATGATTCTGGAAACGAAGTATTTCAGTCGTTCAACATCATTCCGAAGGCCTGCCAATACATCCGTCAATACGTGTGAGTGGCGGTGCTGGTTTGTTGTTGCGAAGAAGCAGGACGGCGCCACAAGATAACTGCCCTAGAATCGTTGATTGCCATCAACGGTGTACGGAGCTATCAGCGCAACGCTCCGCCGTAGTTGCAAGGTATATTTGTGCAGTTGACTCTGTTCGAATGTGTGCTTTGCTTTGATGTGCTTCCTTCCAGGGAAAGTACACTGAGGCGCTGCCTTTGTTCGAACGAGCCCTGGCCATCAGAGAAAGTGCTCTGAGGGTGGACCGTCAGGACACTATCGCGTGCCGTGCGTCTTTGGCAGTCTTGTACACGAAGCAGGGGTTGTTCGACAAGGCCTCTCCTCTGTTTGAAGAGGTCGCATGTTCGTTGGAGTGTGCCCTAGGGCCTGATCATCAGGATTTTGCGAGAGCGCTCAACAACCGGGCCTCGTCGTTGAGATTGCAGGTGAGAGCCGTTCGTACATCCAGGAATTCTGGCAAAGTCCGTATTGCGTCCCCAAAACTGAAAGTATCCTACAATAGGAGAATGGTTGGCCGCCCGCTCCCCAAAGGGGCGGGCGGCTAGAAGTCTGGTCCTTTTGTACAGTATCGCGCAGGAAGCAGATAGATGTGGTCCGGGTGATTTGCTGTGAACATCATTAGGTCTATGTGGACACATAAGGGTAGGCTGCCTTTAATGCAGGCGGAGGTCGTTGTAGGGTGGTACTTGAAAAGCAGGCCATGTTGTGTGTGTATGATTTGAACTCCGTGGCAAGGTCCTGGAAAGATGTCCGATCGCCATATGCAGAAAACTTGTGCAAGAGGCGCAATACACAAGGTTTTCAAGGCTTGCCGGAACAAGACAAAAGGGAACTCACGGCGGTGTAGTAGATGTGGTGTGTATATCTTGCTTGAATTTGTATCGATCGCGCCTACCAGTCCACCGAACAACACGTCAGTCTTGGGCGGGATGAAAAACAAACGCAAACACTCTCTACCGACAGGGAGGGTGCAGGAGTTAGCCGACCAGACGACTCAGCAGTGTCCTGCTTCTGGAGCAGAAGACTCAAGTGCGTGTGTGTCCTTCCTCCCATGTCTGCGGCCACGAACTTGCCGCTACCACACCACCACACATCGGCACATGCATGCATCTCAACCATGCTGGATCAGTCTCGCGTTCAATCGCGTTACCCGTATCTCGCACGTCGTAGATGCTGCAGTTGCGGCTGCTTTCCAAACGGAACTGTGCTAGCGTTATCCATTGTCTGTTTGAAACGTGAAGAGTTGATGGTTGATATCCCATGGCATGGAGGGGAATATGGTTGGTTCGGAAAGGACTCAGGCGAAGGAAATGGTTGATGAAAGCGACAAAATTCCCGTCAGGTCAGGGTACACTTCCGAAATCAGGATACACCTCTGGGAACTGAAGCCACGGCAGGGCACACCCCGCCCTTGTTACGACGCAGCGGGGTGAAAGTGGGCCTTGACCAATGATCTGGCTCCATTTTACGCTGTTGATCTGGCTTCATTTTACAACAACATATTCGCCTGATTGAGAGCGAAGTATCTGATTGAGAGCGAGAGCCAAAAAAATTGAAATTTCGGGTCCAGACGCCTCTTGCCATTTCTTGGCAAGTAGGGGACGGGCTATTCCAAGAAGCGGTGCAAATTGAAGGTCTCATCAGCAGCTTCGCGAGCATATGCGTGTCATCGTCATCGGATGCTGCAGCGAGGAGCTAGACAAGTTGCTAGATTTGCCCAGATTGGCTATTTCTGCTCAAACTGTTTCAGGGCGGTATCGCGTCGGGCGGTGGGCTCTGCTGTAGCTTCTGCTCCCCGCTGTAGCTCCACAACGAGAGACTCCCACAGGATGACCAGGGTAGCGGCTTGAAGCTACGGGCTAGCCCTTCAATTCAAGCTACACAGCAAGCTCCACCTCTCAGTGGTAGTCCGGCTACAGCGTATCGCGCAATCTCGCTCTCAATCAGATGCTACGCTCTCAATCAGGCGAATATGTTGTTTTACGCTGTTGAATGTGTGTACCTAGCTGAATCGCTTATCGACCAGGGTATACCTATTGCGTCGATTGCCCCTACAAGTATAGTACATAGTCATCTTGATATTGTTGATAGATGATAGTTGCGTCCCCAAAGCTGAAAATTGAAAAATACGAAGACAACAACTAACACACCCTGGTCGATAATTCGGGTGGCTCGATTCCTTGTGGTTGGAGCTCAAAGCGGGTGGCTCATGGCGGAGCGTGGATGGGTAGAAACGTGTTGAAAACGTATTGCAGAGTATAGTATTATCGGGGGCGTGCCAGTGCTCGTCAAACCATCACGGCATCTGATCACGCCTTCACTCTTTGTCACTCAACAAATCTCTCTGAACCTTCACCAAATACCTCTCGCAACCAAGGAATATATGTAGAAATTCCCTATTCTTCCGCATCTCATCACTGTAACTTTCGTACGTACGTACATAACATCTCAACCGTCATACTATGCTACGAGTACCCCCAATATATCTAATACACCCACCCTAATCCTAATTTTCATAATTAAGACAATGTTTAAACGCCCTCTTCGTCGTGGAGTAATGGAGCTTTGAAAATCGTCCCAGGTTGTGTTTCTTTGTTGTTGTTTCTCACATCAGCTCTAAAAAAGAAAGATTGGGAGCCCGTGGTCTCAAAACCCGGCATACACGACCCCACGAAGAAACAGAAAAAAAAAGGCTACAAAAACCACTCGGAAGAGAAACAAAATGATAGAAAGAAAGACCAGCTACCGCACCAAACGAGAAAGAACGTCGAGGAGACCGATCAAAATAAAATATAAGGAGAACGGGGAACGCTTCCCACACCCGCCTACAACGCCGGAGGGTTCCGTGCCGGGTTCCCGCCGACCAGGCATCCCCCGCCCTGCACCACACCCCAGGGGGTGCAGCAAGACGGGGGGCGAAAAACAAACACATATATATTCCCACAAAATAAATAAAAAATCGAAGGACAACGTACACCAGTACCAGGTACTACAGCAGTGCAGTATGCACCAGCGCATTAGTGTAGGGTAGGCACCGCACCAAAGAGGCAGCAGAGGTGGCAGGCAGCCA